TACTCTTTAACATTTTCACATGTTAGCCATAAAAATAACAATTCAAAAGCATGATCACAGAAGGAGATACAATCATTCATTGTAGCCCTTCATTCGCACAAAATGACTGACATGCTTCGGTTTCAATAATTTCAATTGCATGATATATACATCAACTAAGCTAAAATTTAACAGGCATAATAACAACTCATACAAGACATACTCATAACAATTTGAACATATTTCATGAGTGTATATTGAGATATCTCGAATCTAATGGCAAACTGACATGCTGAGACTCTAACATTTTAAAACACTCGATTCACATCATCTAGGCTAAAATTTGATACAAATACTCTCAACATATACAGATATTTCACAAAAATTTTAGATTTATTGCATGACCATAGACTGAGATATAACCATTTAAAGTGGCAACTAGAAAATATGGATTTGAACCGCATTGATACACCCAACTTCAAACATGTTTACAACATGCTATAGTCATCGAAATAATCTGAAATTTGACATACATGTTCAGCAAATCATGCAAGAAATAAGCATATAAAATTTTCAGATTTATATCATGATCATGGTCTGAGATATAATCATTCAAAATCGTAGCTAAAACAGACAATCCATATCAGACTATTAAGTTTCTGCTCATATCGATTTACATCATGCTATCCTAACAAAATGGCATAAAATTTGACATGCTCAATTACAACACATACAAAACATAGTCTGTAAAATTTCAGATCTATTGGACATGAATAGCCAGGGCAAATCTCAATTCAAAGCTGCAGTAGATTAAAGGATTTCGAAATATTCAAACTTAACAATCTCAAGCCATGGTCAAACCACAAGTCACAAGGCCCTAAAATTGAAATGTAACTTATGAAAATATATGGTTTCAGCATGCTCACAGTCACAAAAAGATTGGCAATTAACTCCACAAAATTGAAGCTAAACACACGACTTAAAGCTCATCACACATGCATAAATTTTCTATTTTTCTCGTAATATTTCTGTGGCAACTTAAAGGCTATTAAGACTGAGATTTACCCTCGAATAGATACACATAATAAAAACATATACATGCATTAAAGCTTAGCCAAATAGTGCAACAACATCATGCATATCAACATACATTCAAGCCTTCTATTCTCATCAAAACCGTGTGCCTTGCAGTCATGGCATAGGATATTCACGCAGTGTCGGATCGGTCCACTCGTCCCATGAACGATGTCGTAGTCTTTCACCCAAGCATCAGTCTTCATGACTTATGCTCGATTTTACACATGAGAATTGATAGCAATCGTCTTTCTCGAGGCCTAGCCACCCTCGAGAGTTGCGATAGTGTTACGCACTAGATTTTTCGTCACTACTATATTGCCGAACAATAACATGAATAGGACACTTAGAATTCACTCCCGATTCTCGTTGACTGGGTCTTAACACACATTTGATGGTCCTATCGACAATGGTTACAGACTTCCGAATAACCCACACACCTGGGACTTCTTCGGTCGTCTGTCCCCCTTCATTTAAGCCTTCTCTTTTAAGATGCTTGCGAATGGTCCTCACTCGAAGACACTGAACATAATCTTATTGCGAGAAAACTGCTATAGACACTCAACTTGATAACATCATACCGAAAACTCACAACAAGGAGCTTCTAAGGTCATAACTTAACTCTATACCCTAGAGTCAAGTCCATATGTACGGAGGGTAAATTCTTAAGTCCCAAAATCTAAAGTCTGAACAATAAGAACATCAATCACATATTATAAATAATATCATTATCACTTGTAAAACACATACCTTAAGCTGGTACAATACAACGTAGACGAGTGGTCATTTAACAAGTACATATAAGTGCATAATTCACATAAAAATAGTCTACAGAAACGTAGACCTGCTCTGATACCACACTGTAACGCCCCACTTTGATTTTAAAGATCAGTCAGACTACGACAGGAAAGAAAGCCCATACAATCAATCAAGAGTTGTAAGCGGGCTGTTAGCTACGATGCAGAGATCTTATTTCTATATAAGGGAGAGGCGGGTCATCCTTACTTGGAAGTGCTAGTAGCGGTGAGATACCTAGGAAAATTTTGGACTTCTCCAAACATCAAGATTAAAATTTTTGAAATTCATTTTTCGATTTCAACACATTTATACGCGCTACCAATCATTTCATAAAATAGTCCAAGTCATATCTGAAGTAACGGGGATTTATTACCCGGTTTTCACAAGGATCTCACAACATAGGCATGTCAACATAATAAACCAGTTCATCAGGTTTTATAACATAGAAAATAAACCAGCTCATTAGGTTTAAAATCAATCCATCATGCCCAAAACAATAATCAACAATTTTTAAAACATCATTGTTTGAAATAAAAACCTGTTCAACAATAATACAGAAGCAATAATAATCATAAATGCAAACCGGCCACTCGTCTCCTCGTCGCCATGCCTGCCACCTGCTCAACCTGGAATGGGGGGATGGGACATGGGAGTGAGCACAAATCACTTGCTCACCGTTATGCACACAAATTAAATATAAATGACAGATAAGTATGGTCGCAGCATGAACATGAATCAATCAACATATCACATCTCCTAATCACATTATACTCCTATGCACATCTATCATTACCACGGAAGGGGATTCATTACCCAACGGTAGAGTACATGTCGAAGGCCTCAATATTACTAACAACATGGCCTTTCATTAGGTCTTAAGGAGTTTTCTTCTCATTAGGCACCATATTACATCGAGGGGACAACCGTGTCGACGGCCGAAACAACACACATTGACAGGCTACAAGGTTCACACACGTACATTGATCATACCGTCCAACAAAATACAGACAATTTATGGCATAAAAATTTAAATAAACCCACCTAGTAAATTTAGCAGAGAAATGCTCGAACAACAAGGGTAGGTCGAGAGCTTAGCTCGTCAGATATCTACAGTTTTATCAAGATAGCCTTATAAATATACTATCTTGACACTTAGAATTATTTACGAGAATTCATACTTAGTCAAACATCATCGACAACGTAGTTCATGGAAATTTTGTGGAAGTTGGAGCACTTGGATTTGGAAGCTATACTTGGAAAAACCATTTTAAAACGTTAAAAATTGATTCTGCACGGAAAACAGGGTCAACGGATCACAAACAGGTCAAATAATTCGGGAAAATAAAAAAAGGGCTTAAATTAGCTCGGCAAGGCACGACTAGGCACGCTGGGCACGGATAGGCACGGCATGGGGGCCACTGGGCGCTGGCACTGACAGGCCCGAGACGGCTGACTGGTTGGATATCTCAACCGAACCTATTTCAAATGGACTCAAGCGTTGTAATTGAAATTCTTACACCGCATAATAGGCTCAGAGAAGGACCAGCTCACAAAAGATTGTCCCTTAAATATCACTCTAACATAATAAACAATTTTTTGCAAAAAGATAGCAGAAGTTTAGACTTGAAATTTAACCACATGTACATCACGATAAAAGAACACAAACCCCAGAACTGCAACCAATTTGGACGAGCCGATCATTTAATATGATTTTTCAAACTTTTAAAGTAAAAGACATGTGCTTCAGTTCACATAGCTACTGGTTAAATAAAAATCTCAAATTTTAACACAATTGATGTGGTCGTCAGTAGCGGTTCATGAAAGACCGGTTGTGATCCAGGTCTTAGTCCCGCCAGCTAGGCGGAGGTGGTCGTCAAGGTAGCTAGGTACCTATGCCAAGAGGTACCACTAAGGGTACCACGGAAGGTGCCACTAAGAGTACTACCGTGGGTACTACTAAGGATACTATCAAGGGTACCACCAAGGGTGCCACTAAGGGTGGATCATCTCGGCACCTAGACAACTAGGCACCTCGGCGGGGTGTCACTTAAGTGACTTGGCTAAGGGGTCCTGTCGAGGGGACCAAAGTTCGTAGGTAGTCTCGTGAAGAGGTTTATAACCTCAAGGACTCTAAAGATTAAAAATCCTTTGACCTAAGTAAGAGATATACGCAAAGAAGACTTCTTGTCCTATCAGGAGTCCTCAGCTGCTTCAACTATAAAAAGGGCACAAGTTATTTCATTTACGAAACACACACATACAAATTCTCTTGTTACTCTGCCGTTTTCTCTTTGGACTACCACTGACTTGAGCGTCGTAGTGTTCACGCCGGGACCACCCCCGACATGTTTTGCAGGTACCGACGATCAAGGAGACGTAACCTGATTCGGAAAGGAGCAGTCCAGCGGTTCAAGTATTTGTGGTATAACAAATTAGCGCCGTCTGTGGGAAAATCAGTCTTCTACCAGAGTATCAAAGGCTGTTTTTTCTCACCAACGAAGAAGAGCGATAGGAGTCATGGCATGAGATAATTCGAAGAAGGACTTGACAAAGGAGATGGATGCAGAGTGGGCTCGGAGAGCCTTCGGGACAGGTCCCCCGCCGGGATGGTCACCATCGCCTCTCACTCCTAAAGAGACTCTATTGGGCCAAAGCATGACCCCGACGCCACCACCAGAAGCTCAGGGCCGCTCGGCGAACCTAGTGGGATCGGGTGGTATGGCGGACAAAGGGAAGGAGGTTGGCCCCACGGTTGATGAGGGAGGGAATCAAGGTGTTTTGGGATCTGGGGGTGCCGGGGATCTGAATGGTACCCTTGGCAGTAGGCAAGTGGTCTTGTCAGGAGCACAAAACCCTCCGGGGGACAATGTTTCTTCAGCACCACGGGGGGATCCAGTTATTCAGATGACCAGGTCGGAGTTGGATAGGATCATTGCTGAGGCAATAGGCCGAGCTCAAGAGGTGGATAGGAGAGCCCCTAATGAATCGTTTCGACAACCTCCGCCACGGCAGCCACCCGCACCTCAACAACAGGTCCCCTCGCATTAGCAACAACACCATCGCTTGGAGAGGGACGATGAGGATGATGCCAGGTTGGTGACCTCTCGCCCGGTGGCAACGACGCAGCCGGATGGGTTAACTTTGGAGAGGTTGGCAACTCAAATGCGGAACTCCAAGCTCGGGTCCAGGGTAAGAAGCCTATAGTTTTGCGAGGACACCCTTTCGCAGAGGATGTCTTAGGAGAGGATTTGCCCAGCAACTTCAGGGAGTTGAGTTTGTCCTATGATGGGTCGGCGGACCCAGCTAGGCACTTGAGATCGTTCAATAATATAGCCGTGCTGCACAGGTATAGTGATGCTGTGAGTTGTCGAGCCTTCTTGACGACGTTAAAGGGGTCGGCGCAGGATTGGTTCCATCAGCTGCCAGCAGGATCTATAGATGGCATTGAAAAGTTTAGCTCGTTGTTTCTAAATCAGTTCGCGAGCGCCAGGAAGCACGAGAAGACGTATCTCTCACTAATCAATATGCAGCAGAAGGAGGGGAAGACCTTGCGGCAATATGTAGCGTGGTATACTAAGGAGTGCGTGGAGGTTCCCTCTACCTCGGAAGAGATCAAATCTGGAGGTCTTAGTGGGGATTGAGGCCTGGGAAGTGCAGAGATTCATTGGCGAATAGGCCAGCGAGGTCCTTTGATGAGCTACTTGAGAGGTGTAGCAAATATATGAACATGGAGGAATCAGAGGCGGACTCCATCCGAAATGATAAAACAAAGGCTAAGCAGGTGGAGGAGAGGCCTCGACAAGGTGATCGGCGAGCTGCCCTAAAGGAGGCTAGGGTTGAGGATCGGTTCAGGGGTCTGAGGTACGAGCATTACCAATCACTTAATGCACCCCAACATGAGATCTTGGAGACAATGGAAAAACGAGGGGAGGACAAGTTGCTCGCACAACCAAAGCCTCTGCCCCCACCGCGGAAGTTTTCGGCATCGAAGGACAGGTCTTGTCGGTACCAACGTGATTATGGCCACTCTACCAATTTCTGCCGAGAGTTGAAGGATGAAATTGGGCAGCTCATTAGGGCCGATCACTTAAAGGAGTTCGTGATCAAGGACAAAGAACGCCAGGATGATCGTCGGGAAGGGTCAAGTGACAAGCGAAGGAGGACTGATGAGCAACCTGATAGACCAGTTAAGAAGGGCATAATACACATGATCACGGGAGGTCCTACGGATGGAGATTCACATAGAGAGAGGAAGAGGACCTCCCGGGGAAAGGGTGTGGCAGGTAAGGTGGCCGAGGTGCAGGTGCAGAAGAGCTCGGCCACTTTGAAGTTTGGAGCTGACGATGTGCAGGGGCTCGTTGTCCCACATAATGACGCTTTGGTCATCACTGCGGAGGTGGCTAGTTACGATGTGCAGAGGGTGCTCATAGACACAGGGAGCTCGGCAGACATCATTTTTTTGAAGTGCTTGCAACAGATGGAGTTAGACATAAAGGTCGAGCCGGTCCACACTGCCCTCTATGGTTTCAGCGGCAGTGAGGTCCGCCCCGTTGGTGAAGTTAGTCTGACTGTGGCGTTGGGAAGGTCACCTTTGAGGAAGGTGAAGATGGTTCGCTTCTTGGTCGTGGATGCTAGCTCGACCTACAACATCATATTGGGGCGGCCTAGCTTGAATTCATTCTAGGCAGCCATTCCCACTTATTGCATGAAGATCAAGTTTCCTAGAAGGGATGAGGTTGGGGAAGTGACGGGAGACCAGCTGCAATCTCGGCTGTGCTATGAGGTCACATTGAAGGCGGATGAGGCGCAACATAAGAGACGGAGGGATGACCTACCTGAGAGTTCCCACCGGGAGAAGAAGCAAGAGTTGGGAATGAGCTCCCAGGACGAGCTGATGGAATTTGAGTTGATAGAAGGGAATCCGAAAAAAATAACAAAAGTTGGTCGGTATTTGGAGGTCGATATACAAAGTGCGTTGATTGCATTACTGAAAGAATTTGTAGATGTCTTCGCCTTTTCAGCCGACGACCTCACAGGAATCGACCCCGGGGTAGCAAGGCACAGGTTGAATATTGATCCAACTATGAGGCCAGTGGAACAAAAGAGAAGACACTTTGGTGCCGAGCTTGATGTGGTTATTGAAGAAGAGGTGGGGAAGCTGTTGAGGGCGGGACATGTGCGACCCATTCAGTTCCCAGAGTCGTTTTCCAATTCAGTCATGGTAAGGAAGGGAGAAGGAAAGTAGAGGATGTGCATAGACTTCAGGGACCTCAACAAAGCATGCCCTAAGGATCACTACCCCGTACTATGAATTGACCAGCTCGTCGACTCTACGATTGGGTGTGAGTTACTGAGCATAATGGATGCCTGTTGTGTACAAATTATTCTTTTTACCGAGTACCGAATCGAAAGATTCGATCCCCGGGTCGATCTCACGAGGAAGGCGGTTTGGAATTTAGAAATGGTATCGATCACACACAAAAGAAAATAAAATCCTAAACATTCTAATCAGATAGGGATTGGATAACTTATCAGCTAAGAAATAAAGGACAAAACTAAATTATAAATCTACCTAAAAATAAGAACGAAACAAAGATGAAGAGCTAGGGAATCAGGGATAATTAATTCAAGTTCTAGCAAAACCGGGCAATCAATTGTTCGGTTCGAGATTGACACTCTCGCTTAAACATCTAGCGGTTCTCTCCCA